AACATGAATGGATATAAACTTTATTAATACAAACACTCTGATATGAACACACGCAACAATCTAATCATCATTTAAATATTAAAATGTTATTTTTCAACACCGTCGGTTTTCAGAATAGTTTCATATTGCCTGTATTTTTTTATTCAAAATAAAGTTATTAATTTAATTATCTCTGAACGAGAACCAAACGCGACACTGGACAAGACTTTTATTCTGAGATTTCACAGGATGAATGGGTGTGTATGTGACTTCCTGTGTTGCTGCAGACAGCCTCTAGTGGACACTCGAGGAACTGCAGGATGTTACACTTCAGCATCAGCTTCTTTTTTTCAACACCGGAGGATGCCTCTTAAAACAACAGGCCCCACCCCCACCACTCTACCAACCAATCACAGAAGAAGATCTAATGTGTCGTACATGGAGAGACTTTGTATTGGTTGTTTTACTTTGACGGTTCTCGTTCTACTCGTATGAAGGTTAAATAATGATGTAATGATAACTATGGAAATGATTGACAGGTGTTGATATGGGTGTGGCCTCCGTCACAGCCCGAGCTCTAGCCCCTCCTCATTTCCATAGTAACTGTGGTGGGTGTGGCCTGGTGAATCAAAGGTCAGCCCGCCTCTCTCTGCGCTGCTGTCGTCTGACAGTTGAGCGAGCTCTTCCGCTCCTCCGACGCCGCCCTCCTGTGCGTCTCCCTCAGTCCCAACAGCATCTGTGACGGCCCCGCCTCCCTCACCTGTGGCTCCGCCCAGGCTGGGGGCGGCCTCGCCTTTAGTGCGATCAGGTCCACCTCCGCTAAGTCGGGTTCGAGCCATGAGAGGGTGAAAGGTCAACAACAAAGCCTGATGGAGGAGGAGGGGCGTGGTCAGATCAAGCATCCTGGGCCCTTTCTGAATAGTCACAGTTCAGTAGTCAGTACTTTTCAGTAGAGTTTCAGTAGACTGAACCCTCGTGGTCATTCAGTGGTTATTGTTTGGGTCCACCTCAGTATACTGAACATTTCAGTATGGATACTAACTTCCTGATTTCATGCAGTATGGATCCGATGCGTGCTTTCAGGAAATGAATTGTATTTTACCCACAATGCTGTGCGAAAGTAAACGTAAATCTTCACGTCACGTCCGCCTCCAAATCAAAACAAACGAGCGTGGATTAATTTAATCAGTTTTTAATCTAGAGTTAAAGTCCCGACTGAAATCACTACTTTAAATTAACAACAGAAAATATAAGAAATATCTGCATTATTATAAAACCTTTCTCCCTCTATTTAAATAATGATGTCACTATTTAAATAATGATTTCACTATTTAAATAATGATTTAACTATTTAAATAATGA